GAGCGCGCGAGCATGCGCGGGCTAGCGCGGCCGCAGAGATGCACCAGCCAATGCCGAACACAGCGCAATCGCCGCCGCATGGATTTTGCAAACCAAGTTGCGCGAAGGTGGGTGGGATGATTGCACGAGCAGTGGAATTGAGAACTCACTGCGAACAGTTGCGCCGCACAAATTGCAGAACATGAATAGTGCAACGTCGAGTGCACTGGGTAGGTTGCTCAACCTAGTGCACAACGTAGGTTGCAATGGTGGATTGCGCCGCGTAGATTGCACCGCGCAGATTCTCCTGTCTAGGGAAGTATTCGGATTCCCCCCCCTCCCCGTACTTAACGGTTCACCTTTTGCTGTTGCAGTTTGGATATGACTCTGCCACATCGTCCATCTCGTATTTGGATTCGCACCATCCCCTGCAGGCTGGTCTCGGCCCCCCCCTTCCCCCTTCCTCTACAACAAAGACCATGCGCGCGCTCATTTAACGCGAATCATCAGTTCTCAAACACCCCTGACAAGACATGGGACGAAGTGCGCTCGCGCGCGTCGTCGCGCGCGCGTGCCAGAATCGTTTCACCTCCCCAGGTTTCGCGAGGATGCCAGGTAACGTATGGAAGCGGCTTCGCGACGACAATTTTCAAAACAAGCCTGCGACCGTTTTTTTTTTTTTTTTTTTTTTTTTTTTTTTTTTTTTTTTTTTTTTTTTTTTTTTTTTTTTTTTTTTTTTTTTCCCCCTGTAGGTTGTCAAACTGTTCATAACATGCTTCCAAACGTGCCTCTCGCGCGCGCATGTAGAAATCGTTCGAGCGCCCCTGCGCCCGCGCTGTCGCGAGAATTCTTCGCGCAAGACGGGGCGAAGCGCACGCGCGCTACGACGCCCGCGAGTGCCGCAACCTGCCAAAAACAACGGTTTCGCACGAATCTCCAAAACGATGCCCCGACAACATACACATGACACGTGGTTTTCCAACGGTATTTTGACCAGCGAATCCTGCGCTCGCGCTCCTGCGAATTCTTGGGAAAACCAGCGGTTTTCCAAAGTTGTCATCCGATTCTGCCGAACGAGCCGTCAAATAATACAGCGCGGGCCACTCGCGCGCGTCGGCCGCGCGCGCGTGTCGAACTCTTTCCAAAACCTTCCGTGCCGACGCGAGGGCGTCGTCATCGTCGTCGGCGCGACCAGCATCGGCGCCGACCGTCAATGGCCCCGCCGTCGTCATCGCCGCCGTCACGCCATCATCGCCGCTCTCATCATCGTGTCTACTGTTGTCGGCGTCGCCATGATACTGCGCCTGCTCAAGTCACCGACTCGAGCTGAAGTGCCAGCTGGGAAATGCCCAGCGGCCAGCGCCGCCGCGGCCGCGACGGTCGCAGATGCGCCAGCCAGCGCCGAGCACATCTCGCAATCGCCGTCGCATTGGTTCTGCAAACCAAGTTGCGGATGGGTGGGCGGGGCGATTGCGCGAGCAGTGGACTTGACAACTCACTGCGAGCACTGGTGAGTTGCAACCCGCAAATTGCACCGCGCAGATCGTGCAACGTACATTGCACAACTTAAACTGCATCGCGTCACTTGCGCCGCATACGTTGCGCCGCGTAGATTGCGCCGCATATATTGCGCCGTGCAGATTGCACAACGTAGGCTGCGCAACATTCATTGCGCCCCATTCGCTACGCAATATAGATTGCCCCACGTGTGTTGCACGCCATACACGGCTATAAACACACTGTTTGGGGTCCACGCTGGCGAACGTGTGTCTCGAGGAATTTGGCCTGGCCGTCGGTCTGGCGGCTCCGTGGTCGCCGTCGCCGCTTCGTCGCCGTTCGTCGTCTGGGCCTGGCCGTCGGTCTGGCCGCTGCGTTGTTGCCGGCGCCGCCCCGTCGCCGCCTCGTCGCCGCCCGTCGTCTGGGCCTGGCCGTCGGTCTGGCGGCGTGGTCGCCGTCGCCGCCCCGTCGCCGCCTCGTCGCCGCCAGTCGTCTGGGCCTGACCGTCTGTCTGGCGGTTCCGCGGTCGCCCTCGCCGCCCCGCCGCCGCCGCCGCCCCCCCGGGATTGTCGGCCACTTTCGTGTTGCAACTTATATAGGATTCAGCCCCATCGTCCAACCGCTCCAGCCGGGTCGGCGTCCGCCTCCCCCCCGCCCCCGCCATCCTCTGCAACGAACTATTCTGCGCGCGCGCGCTCGTTTATCAAGAATCATATGTTTTCAAAATCCCATTGCAAGACATTCAACGAGCTGCGCGCGCGCGTCGTCGCGCGCGCATGCCGAAATCCTTTGAAAACTGTTGGTTTCGTGGGGATTTCAAAATCGAGTGCCCCTGAAAACAAATCGAAGCGCAGGGTTTCGCAGCGCGGATTTCCAAGGAAAGCTCGCGCGCGCGCTTGCGCATTCCTATGAAAAGCCATGGGCTTCTCATCATCAGTCTCAGAAAATGCTGCCCAACGGGTCTCGTGGGCGCGCGCGTCGAAATCGTTCGAACGCTCTTGCGCGCGCGCCGTCGCGAGAATCCTCCGCAACGAACGCGACGAAGTTTGCGCGCGCGTCGTCGCGCGCGCGCAAATCCGTCGACCACCTTCGGGTTCGCAGCGATGTCGCAACCGCGTGCGAACAACATTTAAAACCACATGGCTTCGCAGCATCAGTTTCCCCCCGCGCAAAAAAAAAAAAACGCGCGCTCGCGCTCTTGTGAGATCTTGGGAAAACTATCAGTTCCTCAACGTTTTCATGGACTTCCGCCAAGCGGGTCTCTGGCGCCGCGCGCCGACATCATTCGCGCGGGCCCTTGCGCGCGTGCGGGTGGGGGGGTGGGGGGGCGATCCGCGTCGAATCGTGCCGCGCGGGCCTTTCTCGCGCGTCGGCCGCGCCTGCGTGTCGAACTCGTTCCAGCGCCTCCATCGCTGACTTGAGGGCGCCGCCATCGTCGTCGGCGTGATCAGCATCGGCGCCCGCGCTGGCAACGCCGTCGTCGTTGCCAACATCGTCGCCAACGTCGCTAGTGTCATCGTGGTGTCTACCGCTGTCGACGTTGCGACGATGCCGCGCCTGCCCGAGTCGCCGGCCGACTCGCAGTGGAATGCCTGCTGGGGTGCGCCCAGCGGTCAGCGCCACCGCGGCCGCGTCGGTCGCGCCAAACTAGCTTGCCTGTGCGCGCGTGCTTGGGTTGGCGCGGCCGCAGAAATGGACCAGCCAACGCCGCCGCATGGGTTTTGCAAACCAAGTTGCGGGTGGGTGGGCGGGGTGTCTCCAAGTGCATGGGATGCATCAACTCGTTTGTTAAAAATCACACGCGCCGCGTAGATCGCATCAAATATACTGCCCCACGTAGGCTCTCCTTTCTACGGGAAGATGGAGATCCGCACCCCCGGGGGGTAGCGGTGCATTTTTAACGTGTGGCAATTGGCGTGCGATTCTGCCCCACCGCCCATGCTAAATCTGAACTCGTACCATCCCAAGCAGGCCAGAGTTCGCCCCCCCCCCCCTCCCCCTCCTCCTTTGTAGAAAATACAATGCGCGGGCGCCCGTTCATCGCAAGTCGTCAATTTCCAGAAATCCCTGAGGCAAAATGGGACGAAGTGCGCGCGCGCGTCGTCGCGCGTGCATGCCCGAATCCCCAAGCAAAAGAACAGACGCTTCGTAAGGCTTTCAAAATCGAGTGTCACGGACACGCATGACAAAAACCGCATGGCTTCGCAACAACATTTCAAATAACATTTGCCTTCGCGCTCTTAAGGCTTTTTAAGACAACCGTGCAACTTTCAACATTTTCATACATGCGGTGCATGCAAATTGGCCTGTCGCGCGATCGTGCCGAAATCGTTCGAACGCCCTTGCGCGCGTGTTCTCGCAAGAATGCCTCCCAAAAGCAGCGGCGAAATGCGCGCGCATGCCATCATCTTTCAACATCCATCGAATTCCCAAGGGTTTCAAGATTTAATGCCCTATCAAAACGCATGGTTTTGCAGCGTGGCTTCTAAAAAGAATCCTGCGCTTGCGCTCTTGCGGTTTCTTCAGAAAACCATCGGTTTTCCAACATTTCCATCGCATTCTGCCAAGCGGGCCCTTCGCGCCGCGTGCCGAACTCATTCAAGCGCCCTTTCGCGCGTGCTGGGGGGGGGCGCGATCCGTTCAAAATCTTGCCGCACGGGCCACTCTCGCGCGTCGGCCGCGCGCGCACGTCGAACTCCTTCAAAAACCTTCGTCGCCGACGCGAGGACATCGTCATCGTTGCCGGCGGGTGTGATCAACATCGGCTCCGTCATTGGCCTTGCCGTTGTCACCGCCACCATCGCCACTATCATCGCTACTCCCATCATCGCGTCAATCGTCGTCGGCGTCGCCAGGATACCGCGCCCGCCCAAGTCATCGACTCGCACTGAAGTGTCCGCTGGGAAGTGCCCGGCGGTTAGCGCCACCGCGGCCGCGTCGGTCGCGCCAAACTAGCTGGCCGCTGGGCGCGCGAGCGTGCGCGGGCTAGCGCGGCCGCGAAGATACACCAGCCAACGCCAAGCACTTATCAAAATTGCCGCTGCATGGGTTTTGCAACCCAAGTTGTGGGTGGGTGGGTGGGATGTTTGCAAGATCATGGGAGTTTTAAACTTGTTGTTAACGATCAATTGCGCCACGTCGTTTCCACAAAACTTGCAACACGTATGCTGCACAAAATATTTCACGCAAGCCATATCGCACAACATAGATCGCACCACATAGATTGCATCACATACTTTGCGCCGCATAGATTGCACACCATAGATTGCACCACATAGTTCGCACCGCGTAGTTTGCACAACATCGATCGCGACATCTATTGCTCAACGCAGATTGCACCGCATACACCGCACGACATAGAGCGCACCACATAGATAACACTATCTATTTTCGTCCATATCGATTGCGCCACATGGTCTGCCCCACATGGATTGCTCAACGCAGATGGCTCGACAAACGCTGTTTTGGTTCCGCGCTGGCTGGCATGTTTTGGTTGTGTGAGTCTGAAGCTTCTTCTCCGAGTCCTGCGGCGGGCCGCTCGGGGGGAAATCCCCGTTCTGCCGGGTCATCCTGGGCAAGCGCCTCTCCTCCACCGCCCGCGACACCACGAAGCCCTGCAGGGCCGCGCTGCCGTCCTCCTCGAGCTCGAGGGGCACCGTCTTCGAGGCGCGAGGCGTCCGCGAGGCGGCCCGCGACCCGCGAGGCGTCGGCACAAGGCCGTGCGCCTGCCTGAGGATGGGAGGGAGGGCTGGGCTCAGGGGAGGGACTGGCTCGACGGTTCGAGGTTCGAGGTTTTCGGGCGATCTCGTCGGTTCTCGGCGGGATTCCAGCCTCGGGATGCGTTCCGGCAGCTGCGCTTCGCCGAGGGCGTTCCCGGGGTACCAGAATCTTGCCGAACGGCTGCCAGAGAGGCGAGCCATGGCCTTGAAGCGTGTCGCGGCGGCGGCCCTAGCGACACGCTGTGCCCTGCGAACGGATAGCATGTCGCTCCGCTCCGCGGGGCGGGATGCGGGGAACAGCTCAGGACGTTGACGCTCAGGAATTGGGAAGTGGTCAGCGTGTCGCGCCAAACCACGGTGGGCCAGGACTGGCGGCGCGACGCGCTAACCAAACGTTCCTGACCGTGTGCGTCTACATGGCTCCTGGCCAGGCCCATCCTGGGCCCAGGATGGGCCTGACCCCAGGGTCAGCGTACCCCAGACAAGCGATGTCCAGTTTCTTTCAACACGGGGTCCCCGGACGCCCCAACTTCAAACCTCTTCCTCATGGCAGCCTTTTCTTCCTGGGTCGTTTCTTGACGGCCCTGTGGCCGGGCGAGGGCCCCCGGGGCCGAAAGCGTCCAAACACCGCCTGGCGAGCACGGCTGGGTACAGATCTCGTCGCCCGATGCCTGGGCGCCTGCAGGCTGGAGGCTGTGCTGCCTGCAGGCTGGGGGTCCACCCGCAGCGTCGCCGGCTCCTCCGGCTGCGCAGGGGGGCGCCGAGCTTCCACTCCTCCTCCTCCTCCTCCTCCTCCTCCTCCTCCTCCTCCTCCTCCTCCTCCTCCTCCTCCTCTTCCTCCCCATCCTCCTCCTCCTCCTTCTCCTCCTCTTCCGTCTCCTGCCTCCTCCTCCGCCTCCGCCTCATCCACCTCCTCTTCCTCCTCCTCCCCCTCCGCCCTCACTCCTCATCCTCCTCCTCCTCCTCCCCTCCTCCTCCTCCTCTCCTCCTCCTCATCCTCCTCCTCCTCCCCCTCCCCCTCCACCTGCCTCTCCTCCTCCGCCTCCTCCCCTCCGCCTCCTCCTCTCCCCCTCCTCCTCCTCCTCCTCCTCCTCCTCCTCCTCCGCTTCCTCCTCCTCCTCCGCCTCCTCCTGCTGCTCCTCCTCCTCCTCCTCCACCTGATCCTGGCCAGGTCACTCCTGGGGCCAAGATTGGTCTGCACGTGCGCGCGGGAACGCCTGCCCAGCGTCTCGCGGCGGCGGCCCCGGCGACACGCTGTGCCGTGCAAGCGGATGGCGTGTCGCTCCGCTCCGCGGGGCGGGAGGCTTGGAAAGGCTCGGGACGTTGACGCTTAGCTTGAGGATAGGGGCGTGATCAGGGCGTCGCTCTGGAGCGTGGTGGGCCAGCACCGGCGGAGCGACAAGTGAAGCACAAACTCTTGACCGCACATGTTGGACGTCGGCGTTGCTCTCGCAGAGGCGAAAGCTGGGAGCACGGGGGCTCGGGGCCCCTCTGGCACCCCAGCTGTGGCTCACGTCGGCGCGCCCCCCAAACGCGACGACCACGGCATGCCATGGACATCGACCGATGTCTCGGCCGGTGTCCGTGTGCACACTGCTGGCAGAACCAAGCTGAGGCCGCTGGCGCCGATCCTGGGCCCAGGAGCCGGCCTGGCCGGGAGCGGGTCCGGGCGGACAGCTGGGCGCCCAGGAGCGTCCTCGCCCGACAGCTCGCCGCCCCCGCTGGACTCCGGCGACGTGCCCCTGCTGAGCACAATCGGAGACGTGCCCCTGCTCACCACCTCTCTCGGCTGCACGAAAGGGTGACTCTACGGTCGGCCCGTGTCATAAGGATGCGCGATGAGGATGCAAGGGCCTTGGACGCCCATTTCTAAGCTTTTCGAGCGGGGCGCGGCCAACGATAGTGGCCAAGGGTGGACCGAGGAAGCAAGGACGTAATTGTACCCTCGGGAAGGCTGCCCATCCTTACTATGTAGGTTGACTGTAGGCAAGAGTCATCTCTGGCGCAGGGCCCAGGGGGGGATCAACCGCCTGCGCGCAAGCCGCTGCTGTGGGCATCCCAGTTGGCCATGCGGGAACCTCTGTGTCCCCCGCACCACCGTGCCATCGCTCGGACGTCCATTCCCCGCGCATGGGTCGCTTTTGCGCAGAGAAGACATGCACACGTCCGAGCGATGCCAAGGCAAGGGTCGCTCTGACGAATGGCCACTTCCACTCGGAGGCCGGCCAGTCGAGAAAACGGCGGCGCGCCCGCCCAGATGAACATCGCCCCCCTGGACCCCTCCTCGCCGTCGCTCGGACGTCCATTCCCCGTGCACTGTTTTCGGCCTCGTGCGCGTAGTGCTTCCCAGGAGGATCCAGGATGCTCCTCGAGGGCCCTCGCCGAGAGAACCAATGCACACGTCCGAGCGATGCCACAGCCTCCTGGGGTCCACCCCGGCCCGTGTCTCGAGGCGGGCCCAGCCGCGGCGGCGCGGAGCCTCGGGGAGGCTCCCGCACCGGGCGCAGCACCGAAGCCCGAGAGGAGCCGCGCCGCCGCCTCCTCGGCCGGCCCTCCTCCGATCTGTACGGCTTGGCACACCCAAAGCGGGTGGCGGAGCCACCTGGTCCAAGCGAGCCGCCCCCTTCCCGGCACCGAGGGCGCCTGCGTTCACGAGGAGGGCCGGAGGAGCAGCCGCGGAAGAGCCTGAGGAACATCGGGCCCCCTCCGAACCCAAACTGTTCCTTCTTCCAGCGCCTTGACTGTACAGCTTGGCACATCCGGAGTGGGAGCGGAACAAGCGGGTACGATGCCCAGCAGCACATGCTGTCCCAAACCGACAGCGGCCGCTGCTGGGCATGAGACGTCTGGACGCGAGCGGGCGACGCCGGCGCAGACGCCGATTGCGAGTCCTGCCCAAAATGGGCAATCTTTTTTTTTCCAGCGTATCTTTTGAAGACGGGGAGGGGAAGGGGAAACGGAAGAGGACGCGGGCAGCTGATGATCAACGTCCCTCAAAACTCACCTCAATGCAGTGTCGAAATCCTCGCATGAGCGCACGCTCTGCGGCAATATGCCCAACGCGCATCTCCAACTGCTGCCAATCTTCGCCCCAATTCTTTCCGCACCCGAGGACGCGCCCTGGACCCCGGGGCCTCTTGGTGGTCTCCAAACCAGGTGGTGAGACACCCGGTGGTGACCCCGATTCCCCCAAAAAGTAATTCTGGGTCACCACCGGGTTTGGGGACACGCGGTCGCCACGAGGTTTTGCGGTTCCTGGGCCAGCCAGCGCTCGAAAACCATTACCCAAATCGCCCAAACCTCACCACCGGGTGTTCTCACCACCACGTTTGGGGACCCCGGGGCCTCGCCCAGGACGAAAATTCTTCCCCCGGAGTCGCTGCCTGACGGCTCCTTCGGGCCCGCGGAGGGCCCCGGGAGGCCCCGAGCTGCGAAGAGCACCCGCTTCCTTCGGGACCTGCTTCCTTCATGGCAGGCCTCCTCCTCCTCCTCCTCCTCCTCCTCCTCCCCCTCCTCCTTCCCCTCCTCCTTCCCCTCCTCCTCCTCCTCCTCCTCCTCCTCCTCCTCCTCCTCCTCCTCCCCCTCCTCCTGGGGCCTCTTGTCCGCCCCCGAAAGCAGTGGAGCGCGCTCGGTGAGGATGGGCAAAGGCCCCCCCCGGAACGCGAGGCCGATCCTGCACGGATGGGCTCGGAGTAGATGGGGTCGGGAGATCGAGCCGCATCGCCGATGCATCGGCGATGCATCGCCGATGCATTGGCGATGCACCGGCAAAGTCGACGATGTCGGCGCCGTCCGCGTGGAGAAAATCGGGCTCCACATCGAGCCGCATCGCCGACGCATCGGCGATGCGGCGCGATGCTCCGACCCCATCTGCGCCGACGCCACCTGGGAGGCCCCTCCTCACGACGCGAGCATGCCTGGGCCCACGTGTGGCTGCCCAGACCGCGACGACGACGACGACGACGACGACGACGACGACGACGACGACGACGACGACGACGACGACGACGACGACGACGACGACGACGCAGCGCAGCCGACACCTCCGGCACGAGCGGCAGCGCCGCGGCCTCCCCCGCCCAGGGCGAGGCGGCGCCGCGCGGCGACTGCGAGCCTGACGCGAACGTCCGCCGCTCGCGCCGCGTGGGCCGGGAGGAAGGGCTCACGTCCACATGCAGGTCGTCCTCCGCGCCTGCCAGGGGCTCCTCCTCCTCCTCCTCCTCCTCCTCCTCCTCGTCCTCCGCGCCTGCCAGGAGCTCCTCCTCCTCCTCCTCCTCCTCCTCCTCCTCCTCCTCCTCCTCCTCCTCCCCGGGGGGGGGGCGGGACAGGGGCGAGGAGAAGCGAGGAGCGACGAGCGAGGAGAAGCGGGGAGAAGCCGGGAGCGGGGAGAAGCCAGGAGCGAGGCGCAGAGGGCGAGGAGCGGAGGGGAGCGAGGAGGCGGAGGAGGACGAGGAGGAGAAGGTGGGGTAGGAATCCCACCAGCCCTTTGGGCGACAGGTGGTCTAAGGAGGGTCTCTTTTTTTCTTATACAAGCCCTCTTCCGTTCGGGGAGGGGAGCTCTCCCCCTCCCCTCCCTGAGTTTTTTTTGGCGGGAGGAGATTCGCGAGGTGTCGGAGACTCTTTTTCGGCCAGTGGGAGGGCCAATTTTTGACACCCCTCACGAGGATCGTGGCCCCCGAAGGGGGGGACGAACATCGACCGCCTCGAAGATGGCCTCAAGAGGCCCTCCAGGGCTCTTAAGAGGCCCCCAAGAGGGTCCCACGAACGCCCCAACAGGCTCCAATCCAAGAGGCCCCCGAGAGGCCTCCAAGAGGCCCCCGAGCGGCCTCAGAGAGCCCAAGATGACCTCCAAGATGGCTCAAGGTAGCCCAAGAAGGCTCAAGGTGGCTCCCAAGATGCTCCAAGAGGCCTCGAGACCGCTCCAAGACGGCTCGAGATGGCCACGGAACCTCCCCAAGAGGCCGCCAAGAAACCATAACCCATATGGCCCCAACCCGCCGTCCAGGCTGGCCTCCCTCGCTGTTTGACTGTGCGTGTCTCTTCCTCCCTCCCCCCGTCAGCTCTCATGGGCATCGTTTCTGAATGGGCTGGTGGGGATACTTTTTTTGGTCAGCGGCTCCAAGGCAACGGACAGGGAGCGGAAGCGGCGTCCGGGTCACGGTACGGGGCTAATTGCAAGACAGTTCGCCGCCAGCCAGAGTCGGCGGACAGACAGCTCGCACCTGCACATGCACTGAACAAAATGAGCAGAATTCGAAAGGCAAACGCACTTAGGCGCAGCAGCCCAAACCACAGTGGGCAGGCCGCCCTGCGCGGTGAAAGTGAGGATGCCCCGAAGTGAGTCGCCAATGCGGCGCCAGACTTCCGCGGCCGACCTGCACAAGCCGAACGGCTGAGCAGCCGGGATCAGAGAACAGTGCGCGACAGCGGGGAAAACCAAAGGCTGTACAGGTGTTGTAAGCTGAACCACTCAGCGCCCAGTCCTCAGTGATCCGCATCACATTGCCGAGGGGAGAGCCGAGCGACTGTGCCCCAAAGCGCGACTGTGCGGTGCCGCCTCAGGAAGCGGGGAACTCCGCTGGCGAAGGGAACACCGCCGTCGGATGGTGATGGTCGGCGCGCGTGGTGTTGGTGTCGTCTGCGCTGCCTGCCTGGGGGGGTCTGCTGCCGTGAAGCTGAGGTGGCCAGCCAACCCAGACTGTCGCAAGGCGCTTCCCCTGTGCCCTAGCGCCAACACACACCACGTGTCCCCCCTGGGCCGTGGAAGCTGGCGCTGGGGGTGCAGAGCAGGACCACGAACAGCACGGGCCACGGCGCGCGCAGGGAGGGGGGGGGTCTCAGCACCGATGCAAGTGCAGCGTCGGGCGAGCCCCGGAGCCACGGGTGGGGGGCACCCACCGTGCCCGGGAGGGGAGAGGCGAGGGGGCGCAACGCCTCACCCCACGGCCAGATACCCTGCAGCCGTGGGCCAGGGGCCGTGGTCTGCCACTTGGATCGTCCAGGGGGTCGCAGCTCATCGCCGCTAGTGCTTGCATGGAAGAAAGGGGGGTCGCAGCTAATCGCCGCTAAGATCTATTTTGCACATCGTGGGGGTCGCAGCTAATCGCCGCTGAGGTCTCTGTCGAATGTGTGCGAACGGGTGACGGCCCACCGGGGGTCGCAGTCAACGCGGAGGATGCGGGCCAGCAGCGAGATGCGTCCCCGGAGGTGGGTCCTGGGGAGTCGCAGCTACTCGCCGCTGGAGCCGAAGCTGCCAACACTGTGGCCTGAAATAACAGGCCGGTAGGTTGGCGCGCAGGGGGGGTTGCTTCTGCCGACGCCCCCCTTTCCCCGAAGGGTGGGTGGCTGTCGCCGTTGGACAGCAAAGTGGGTGGTCCCGGGACCGGTCAGTCCAGCGGGCTGGTGGGGACACGCGAAGCGTCGAGAATTCAGCGGGCTGGTCCCCTGATGAGCAGGGGGGTGAAATGTCAGGGATGGGTCCACGTATCCAGTGTGGGCTGTCTAGCTATGCTGCGCCTTGGGTGAGATGTGGGGTGACCTCCGCCCCAGCTGATGTTGCCC